CCCCTCCACCCCTCCATCCCTCCCTCCACCAACCCCCCCTTGCCCCCCAGGCCTGGCCGTCATGCACTCTCAGGGCAGCGACTACCTGGACATCGGCCACAACCCTCGCGTGGGCACGAAGCGCTACATGGCGCCGGAGGTGCTGAGCGAGCAGATCCGCACCGACTGCTTCGAGTCCTACAAGAAAACGGACATCTGGGCCTTCGGCCTGGTGCTGTGGGAGATCGCGCGGCGCACGGCCGTCAATGGTGAGCGCAGCCTCCGGGCCCGCCCCCCCCCCCCTTCCTCCTCCTCCTCCTCTTTTTCTTTTCCCCTTCTTTTTCCGCTTTTCCCCTCGCCCCGCAGATTAGCCGTAAATTATAAACACTGTAATCTGGTGTCAGCGCCCGGCTGGCTGATTAAAGGCCCCATTAGGCTTCAATCAGGGCTTTGTTTGCTCGCTGCTGATTAGCAAACAAGCCGCATCCAGAGCGCCTGGCGGCTCTCCAAGGGGACCTCGTGGCCGTGGGGCTGACAGCGGGGTCCCCACCGAGGTCCCCTCATCCCAACCGCCGCCATTCAGCCCCAAAACCCATTAGTGGTGTTAATTAATGGATGGGATAAGCAGAAGGACCCCCCCGGCGCAGACAGGTTGGGAAAATCCCGCTGATCGCCCCGGGGTTCCTTTGGATTCTGTATTTGAATTATGGAGCTGTGCACGGGGCGACCGCTGCCCCCCACTTTAAAACCCCCACAGGGACCCCAGGCATTGCTGGGGAATGGGGCTGGGGGCCAACGGGACTCCTGAGTGTGGGGGGTGGGGGAGCAGAGGGGGGGGGTTAAACCCAACCTGAATGGGCAGATGGAGGCACTAAGAGGGATTAGTGGGGCCAGCTGGTGGGGTCGGGTGGGACAGGGGCTGGGGGCGGCTCTGAGACCCCCGAACCACCCCAGTGAGGTCCCACAGTGCACCCCGATGTGGGGCAGGAGGCTGTTCCCCAGAACCACCCCACTGAGACCCCATAGAGCAGCAGAGCTGGGCTCCATACACCCTCATATAGGGCTGGACCCCCACATCCCCCAGACCACCCCAATGAGGCCCCATAGAGCAGCAGAGCTGGGCCCCATACACCCTCATATAGGGCTGGAGCCCCCATATCCCCCAGACCACCCCACTGAGGCCCCATAGTGCATCCCAGCATGGCCCCTGTGCCCCAAACCATCCCACCGAGGCCCCACAGAGCAGCAGAGCTCTGCACCCCCCACACCCTCATATAGGGCTGGAGCTTCTGTGCCCCCCAGCCGCCCCACTGAGTCCCGCACCCCATAGGCATGGTGGAGGAGTACCGCCCGCCCTTCTTCGATGCGGTGCCCAGCGATCCCAGCTTCGAGGACATGAAGAAGGTGGTGTGCATCGAGCAGAGGACCCCCACGGTGCCCAACCGCCTCTTCTCCGACCCGGTGAGACTTCGGACCCCCCTGGGGGGCAATGGGGACACGAACCCAGGTGGCGCTGGGGACGCTGGCAGCAGAGGGACCCCCTAAAATTGCCCCCCAAACCCTTTGGGGAACCACAGCACACTGTTCCCCCCAAAAGGCTCTCGCCCCACGGCTGGGGGGTCTGCATGCAGCAGGGTTGTGCCCCCAGGACCCCCCATCCCTCCTTTGCACCTCAGGACCTCCCATCCCACCTCTTTTTGCCCCCAGGTGCTCTGTGCCCCCAGGACCCCCCACCTCCCCATCCACTTTGCCTCCCAGGGCCTCCAGTCCCATATTTGCCCCTCAGGACCCCCCATCTCCCTTTTGCCCCCAGGAACTCTATGCCCCCCCAGGACCCCTCTGTCTCCCTTTGCCCCCAG